AGCCGTACTTACCAAAATACGCTTTTCAAACAATCAAATCTCATATAGTTAGATATTATTTCTCATTTTTATCGGACTTGTCCAGTAATTTAATTCCTGAGTAATATGAATGTTTTAACAAATCCGCATTTAGTAAGATTTTTATTCCAGTTATTTAAGTCCTGAGTAATATGAATGTTTTAACAAATCCGCATTTAGTAAGATTTTATTTCTCATTTAAATCGTTCTTGTCCAGTAATACAAGCCTTGAACGAATTTCAATGTGAAAATAAATTCCGAAAAATGAATTTGTCTCCGTTTTCTGAAAATTATCATATTTGGGTATTATTTCTAAACAATTTCATGTAGTAAGATTTGGTTTTACATTGAGCTCGTTCTTGTCCAGTATTAGATTTCTTGGGCAGTTTTAATGTAAAAGTAAATTCTGAAGAATGATTTGTTGTAAAAAAGTGAAAAGAAAATGTCTTAATTTTATTTCTGAGTAATACGAATGTTTAACAAATCCGCATTTAGTAAGATTTGTCATTGTAAATATTGTACATACATGTAATTGTCTTCTCTATACCTATGTATATGGTTTATTGAGAATAAAATTTGATATTCAGTAAACATTGTTTTTGTTTATTCAGTTGATTTGGAGAGAGAGAAAAAAATCACAAAGAAAAACAAAAATCGAACTTGTTACAGAAAAAAAGGCAACTATAAAATAATATGATTATTTAAATTTCTTTATTCATGAACTGCAGAACACAACAAAATTAATTAAGCCGTCATAATGAAAACTAAACTGAAAAAGTTCATCGAATGGGTTATCTTATTGTTTTCTCCATAAACGTACAATACACTATGCATAATTTAAACCAAGAGTTCCAAATGGAGAAGTTGAAGTCATCCCTTCGTAAATTTTACGGACGCCATCACGAGTTGGTTGACCGTTATGGAATAACCGTTTCACAGATGAAATCGGATATGTTCCTTATGTCGTAACTACAATACCCTTCCCTTTTCACGAATGTGACCTACCGAATTAGACTATTTACCGGATTAATAACATAAGCAACACGACGGGTGCCACATGTGGAGCAGGATCTGCTTACCCTTCCGGAGCACCTGAGATCACCCCCAGTTTTTGGTGGGGTTCGTGTTGCTTAGTCTTTAGTTTTCTATGTTGTGTCATCTGTACTATTATTTGTCTGTTTGTCTTTTTATTTTTGGCCATGACGTTGTCAGTTTGTTTTCGATCTATGAGTTTGACTGTCCCTCTGGTATCTTTCGTCCCTCTTTTAAATTTAACTACATTAAAAAATCCCGGAAAACTTAAAACATCGTTTTATTCATTTAAAACGTAACACTGTACTAACAACACAATTCATAAACAACAATAAAGATAATCTAATCAATTTTGTTGATTGGATAATTCACGGTTCAGTTGTTGTGTAATCAGTGACACGTGCCCTCATTATTTTATAAGAATTAACATATCTATCTAAGTTCGATTTCAAATTCTACCAAAATGTATTTCTTAAATAAGCAGCATGTAACAAATATATACATCTATCCTGTGTGCAAATACGATGACTATAAAGGGTCCTGAGTGCACTTTGTATGTCCTGAGTGCACTCAGGAGGTCCTGAGCAGTGTTTAGACGTACCCAATGAACTATAAACATGAGGTTGAGGTAAGATAAAACCTGGAAGACGGACATGTACACCTTGCAAATATTCTGTGCACCGACTATAGTTGAAGCATTGCTTATAGTACCTAACCTTGAAAATTAAACTATGACATATGAACCATGGAAATGAGGTCAAGGTTAGAAGAGTCTCGGTGACAAGGCTGAAATAAATCATAATATTGTAGGGAAGGGGTGGATCAGTATGTGTACCAAATCCATGGCAGTGTAATCTTCTTGGCATTTACTCAACATCTTTTATTCACATTTATGGATTGACAAGGTGATTAAATACAGTAATAAGGATTGGAATGTGAAATTGATAATCATGATTCTCAGTCCACCACTGCATCATTCCTTTTTTTATTATAGGTTTGTATTCATTTATACAATTTCTTTTTACTTTAATATCTTCATGATATATACAAACAAGTTCCAGCACCACCATTTCAAAGGAGATGGATTATATAGTAATGTTCAAATTCCACAGAAGTGCCAGGGCAGTAAAAAATGGTCAGCACCCTAACTCAGTAAAAAAATAGATTCTTATACCAAAAAGTTATGCAGATTTAATATACAATCACCCATCGCACCAAAAAAGAAAGATTTAAACTCGGTATTAAGGGGAGATTACTCACATAATTCAATTTTATAATGGAATATTCAGTAGATTTTTATATTTTGTATCATAATAGAAAATAAATGGGGAATGTGTCCATCGGACATAGATGATGTCCCCGCTTACATATCATATAAAGTTATAAAGGGACAAAACTGAAGAACGTTAAAAGTGACACTACCCAAATTTGTACTTGATCTGAGTTTTGTGGTAATAAGTATATGTATAAGTTTCATAACATTTGGTTGAGGCAAACTTAAGTCAGAGAACAGAAACGATAAATTCAGCAATTTGTCCATTTGTAAAGGGGCATAACTCTAGAACAGTAAAATTGATACCACCAAAATTCCATCTTGATCTGTGTTTTGTGGTAATAAGCATTGTGTATAAGTTTCATAACATTTGGTTGAGGCAAACTAAAGTTAGATATCGGAAATCAAAAATTCAGCAATTTTTCCATTTGAAAAGGGGCATAACTCTAGAACGGTTAAAGTGACATCACCAAAATTCAATCTTGATCTGTGTTTTGTGGTAATAAGCATTGTGTATAAGTTTCATAACATTTGGTTGAGGCAAAGTAAAGTTAGAGAACAGAAACGAAAAATTCAGCAATTTTTCCATTTGTAAAGGGGCATAACTCTAGAACGGTTAAAGTGACCCCACCAAAATTCAAACTTGATCTGTGTTTTGTGGTAATAAGCATTTTGTATAAGTTTCATTACATTTGGTTGAAGTAAACCGAAGTTAGAGAAAGGAAACCAACTTTGGGACGTATGGAAGGACGGACGTACTTACAGACGGACAAGGGTAAAACTTAATGCCCCCTCCACTACGGCGGGGACATAAAAAAAAGTACGGTGATCCCATTTTTTCTTTTACTAGTAATTTTTTAAATGCATTCAATAAGAGCTATCTTCTGATGTTTTATTTCATTTTGTTATTCAGTTGTCTGTCTATTTTCATAGTAATGCTTTCCCAATATAATCCTTACTAATAAATAAAATTGATAATGGAAACGGGGATGTGTATAAGAGACAACAACCTAACCAAAGAGCACAAAACAGCCCAAGGCCACCAATGGGTCTTCAACACAGCGAGAAAATCCCACACCCAGTGGTGGGCTTCAGCTGGCCCCTAAACAAAAATGTATACAAGTTCAGCGAAAAATGGACGTCACAAACTCTGAATCATATAAATGAACCAAAATTAAATATATGGAGAATGTGTCCCCATGGACACAGATGATACCCCCGCTTGCATGCAACATTATAAAGGGACATAACTCAAGAACGATAAAAGTGACGCTACCCAAATTTGTACTTGATCTGTGTTTTATTGTAAAAAGCATTGTGTATAAGTTTCATAACATTTGGTTGAGGCAACTTAAGTTAGAGACAGAAACTAAAAATTTTGCATTTTTTTCCATTTATAAAGGGGCATAACTCGAGAATGGTTAAAGTGACCCCACAAAAATTCAAACTTGATCTGTGTTTTGTGGTAATAAGCATTGTGTATAAGTTTCATAAAATTTGGTTGAGGCAAACTTAAGTTAGAGAACGGAAACTAAAAATTTTGCAATTTTTCCATTTATGAAGGGGCATAACTCTAGAACAGTTAGAGTGATGCCACCAAAATTCAAACTTGATCTGTGTTTTGTAGTAATTAGCATTGTGTATAAGTTTCATAACATTTGGTAGAGGCAAACTCAAGTTAGAGAACGGAAACCAATTTTGGGACGTACGGATGTAAGTACATACAGATGGACAAGGGTAAAAACTTAATGCCCCCTCCACTACAGCGTGGGGCATAAAAAACAATACTAACAAAGGCCAGAGGTTCCTGACTGTAAATTTTTCACAATCTGTAGCTTGAAAAAAAGTTTGGTGACCTACATTTTTTGTTGTTGTTAAAAAAGAAAAATTAAAACAACATTTTGGCAAAATACGCAAAGAGGCTGTCATTTTTGTCAAGCCTGCAACTTTTATGTTGCAAAATCAAGACAAAGCAATCCAATATTTTGTCAGTTGCAACATTTAAGTTCAGTCTGTGGTTAAAGTTTTTTTCAGACATCAATAACTTTTTCACACTTTTATGGAATTTTATGAAATTTGGACTGAAGCATTTTTTAAGACATAAAGACATTATCTAGAGCAAATTTTAAAATATTTTATTTTTATTTTTCCATTTTTCACCGAGAAATAGACTTAGTTTTTTTTTACAGTAAATACTTAGATACAATCCAAGGTTGAAGTTTTCCAGTCATCAATAACTTTGTCAAACCTTCAAGGAATTTTATGAAAGTTTGACAGAAGCTTTTTTATGATCAAAAAGACATTATCTAGTGTAATACAATAAAACTGTTATGTTCACTTTTCCATAATTAACTGATTAAAGGAATTAGTTAATTGCAGTTAACAATATAAAAATAAGAATATGTGGTTTGATTGCCAATGAGACAACTCTCCACCTGAGACCAAATGATATAGAAGTTAACAACTATAGGTCACCGTACAGCCTTCAACATTGAGCAAAACCCATACCGCATAGTCAGCTATAAAAGGCCACAAATGACAAATGTAAAACAATTCAAATGAGAAAACTAACAGCTTGATTTATATAGTCAGAGATTAAAGTTTGTTTCACATCAGTTGCTTTGTTTTTAACCCCATACAAATCTTAAATGGCATAAAAAAATAACCAACTCTGTAATAAAGATGCAACACAATATATGGAAAGATTTATTCATTTATTTTGAAAAAAAATGAAAAAGTAATTTTTAATGACATCATTAACGTGTATGATATATATTTTTCTAATTTTTTAAATGCTTACATCCACTTCATTTGAACTTTGGTGGATAGTTGTCTCATTGGCAATCATACCACATCTCCTTATTTTTATATAAAACATTTTGTTTTATATTGCACCAAAAACCAAAAGAAATTAATACACTGCTGATCTATTTTTACCCGATCAATATGAACAAAAAAAAAATCATCTAGATGAATAAAACATTGTATTTACACATTTTTAAAAGATTTTTTTAAATTTTTGGTCTAATAAAAGAAATAAGTTCTACTACGAATCTACAGTGGTGGTGCATTTTATGTAATGTTCAATATATAAAATCTGTAGATATGCAAATATATATTTATTCATTTTGATTTGTTTAAAATGATGTACTTAAGATTATAGATATTGATTGCTGAGGTGATAAGTATATGGAATATTTTAAACAATTGTTACAATAACACTTCAAAAAAATACAAAATCACAAAAAAATAATTGTACCCTGCTGTACACATGCAATTCAATGCTCATTGAATGGTCACATAAAACTATATTTATATCAGGCATCTAAATTTAGATGCCTGATATAAATATAGTTTTATGTGACCATTCCATTACAATTTTCTAATGGCAAAAATGGTGCTAACAAGGTAAAAATGATGCAACTCCCCTAAAAAAAATAGTTGCTTCCTATGACAGTAATATGCCACATTTTCCTTTACTTTTCTATCATATATGTTTTTTCACTTGTATTCATAAAATATCTTAAGTCTTATCTTTTTATCTGTAAATTATGGTATGCTTCATCTTTAAGCAAAATATGGCATTTAAACACTTCTCTCTTTATTTTTAAAGGAAAAAAAACCATAAAGAAACAAAATGGAAATTACAATGTAATTGAAGACTGTTGATTAAGTCATTTAATAGTTCAGTGTTCTCCCAAGGCCGTATATTAAAATAGAAATTTCTTGTAAAGTTATTGGTTATTTTTACAGATAATAAAACTATTCCTAACCCTAATCCAAACCCTAAACCTAACTATTAGTTTTATTATCTGTAAAAATAACCAATAACTTTACAAGAAATTTCTATTTCAATATAAAAATCAGCACTATAAGAGTATTATTTATCACAGTTTAACTTTGATTTGAAGTGAAGTTCTCATTTGATCTGTGTTTCTGGTAAACAATGAAATTATCCTTGTAATCCCTTTTCTAAAAAAGATACCTCAGAAAAGAAACCCTTTACACTGTTGTATAAATTCTAGAACATGAAATTACAGTTTCACTTTGTAAATTTAATTTGATTCATTACATTTTCATCAGAAACACAGATTCTATTTAATATATATTATTTAAATGAATATTTATTCAATGATAACATATGTAGCATCAGTAGCTACTCCACAATTATTGTCTTTTTGAGACATTAGTACATAACCATCCATTCCCCAGTATGTTGACCAAGAATTCTTAATTAACCAATAAGCTTGTCCATTCATTGTCCCATATCCTACAGCTAGAACGGAATGATCCAAATCATCAGGTTTATTTCCTGAAAATATAACAGGTACAACTACTGTTACTCTAATTTCTAACAATAACGTCTTGATATAAAACATCTTCACGAAAAAAATGTCTTCAGAGTCTTCAGTTGTGATTAATATGCATCCCCTCTAACAGCTATGTGTCTTCAGTAAAAAGTGTGTAAATTAACACACAACAGAATACGGTAGATGGTATTTTAAATAATTGATTTTATTTTTATTCCTTATAACCAAGTTACCTATGCATTCCAATCAGTATTGATATAAGAGTTCAAAGGTGAAAACAAATATTTTATCAAATTCTGAAATGCATTTTATACCATGCCACTTTACTTCCTGAATTAATTCCGTTATATAACTATTGATAAAAGTTGTTATGAAACATACATGAATTTTTAATAGATAATAGATAATAATTGCACATCAATAATAAAAATTTTTATAATGCACATATTTGTTTGTGAGCAACTAAACATAATATATGAAGAATATTTAAATTGTCTATATATTGGACCTTGACTTTTCACCCAATTTAGGCCATAATAAAAAAAGAGCTGCGACATGAGCACATGATATGCCCATCACGCCCTTTAAGCTCGTCCTTATGCTTTTAATGAATTCATATGATCAACTAGAAATACTGTGAGCACTGCTCAATTAGACCCCCCACCCACTCAACAAAAAAAAAAGACATACACACAAAGTGGTAACCATTGACACAAAAAATGAATAATTTGGCACTATTAAGGCTACCTCAAGTTTAACTAAGTTTGTGGCCTTGATTTTGAACAAACAAGTAAAACTGTGAGCAACTGCTCACTGATGATGCCCCCGCCCAAATATTTCGGTAAACATTATGTTGTTGAGTGATGAATTTGAAAACGCATCACACGGTATAGCTGACTTATATGAACCCTGAAACAAAATTTCAGAAATCCTTGTATTGTAGTTCCTGAGAAAAGTGTGACGAAAATTTTCAACTTGGCTACTCATGTGTAAAATGATGTAAGTGTTCCGTAAACAGGAAGTTGTTGAGTGATGAATCTGAAAAATGCATCACACGGTATAGGTGACTTATATAAACCCTGAAATCAAATTTCAGAAATCCTTGTATTGTAGTTCCTGAGAAAAGTGTGACGAAAATTTTCAACTTGGCTACTCATGTGTAAAATGATGTAAGTGTTCGGTAAACAGGAAGTTGTTGAGTGATGAATCTGAAAATGCATCACTCAGTATGACTGACTTATATAAACCCTGAAACCAAATTTCGAAAATCCTTGTAGCTAAGTTCCTGAGGAAGATGCAACCAAAAATATTCATGGGATGGACGGACGGACTGACGGATGGATGGAGTGATGGACTCACGGATGGATTGATTGACTGACGGACGGATGTACAGACAGAGGTAAAACAGTATACCCCCCTTTTTTTAAAGCGGGGGTATAATAAAATTCTATAACCATTGAAGTGTGAAAAATGGACAGTACGACCATTTTTCAATGAATAAAGTTCCATAACTCTGCAATGTCATATCTGAAATTTATAAAAAACAAAAGGGAGCTTATTTTAATAGATATAAACAAGTCACCAAAGTTTTATGAAAACTGATCACAGCATTTTTGAGTTATTCTCTGAAAACTTGAAAATCCCCCTTCTTTTTATAAAATTGAAAGGGAACTTATGTCAGTATATATAAACAATTCACCAAAGTTTCATCAAAATTGCTCACAGCATTTTTGAGTTATAGTCAGAAAACTGGAAAATCCCCAATTTTTTATGAATAAAATCCCATAGCTCAGAAATGTAAAATCTAAAATTTATAAAAATCGAAAGGGAGCTTATGTCAATAGATATAAACTATCCATCAAAGTTTCATGAAAATTGGTCAAAGAGTTTTTGAGTAATTGTCTGAAGTTTTGACGTTGGTAGGACGGACAGACATAATACCATACGGTATACCATAATATGTCCCGTAAACGGTCATATAAAAATCATTATGAGATATATAACTTTCACACAAGATCAAGAACACATAAACTTTGTATCTTTTTCTGAATAGAATTTTGGTAAAAAATAAACATTTTTTTCTTTTAAATGCAAAAATGTGACATGAAAAACCACAGAGATTAACAGTAAACAAAGGTAGGACATGCAACTTAGGAATCTAAGAATATTTAATTCATAGCCTAAATAACATGACCAAGACCTATAGAATGTGTTGAATGCAGACTTACCACATTTGGGTTCATAATATACACCATTAGCATAGAATGACAATGACAAATGGGAAGCATCAATAGCCACAGAAACTGGTCCCATGTGGGCAATAGCAAATGTCAATGCTTGTTCATCATTATTTGTAATGTTTACATAGTTCTTCAATTTAGCAACAGGAGTCACTTTGTCTTTTCTACATTGACCATCCTACAAGATTTAATATTACAGTTGTTAGCATAGTATATTTTATAAAAGGTTGTAATAATGGATAAATATAAGCATAGGTACACTGTAAGAAGTATGAATGTCATTTGCAATGAACAACATAAGAAACAGAAAACAAGAGTGCACACACTGAGATGTCTCACCTGCTTTACTGACCATTGATTTTATGTTGATAGTCCTAAATATAAAGCTTTAATACAAGTATCACATAAACTTAACATGATCCAAGAAAATGAGGTCAAGGTCAGATAAACCAAACCGTAAATACATGTACACCTTACAATCATTCAAACACCAAATAAAGTTGACCTATTGCTTATAGTTTCTTAGAAATGAACCTAACCAGGATAATTTAACATTGACGAATGAACCATGAAAATGATGTCAAGGTCAGATGAAGTTGATTGATGAACCATGCCAGACAGACATGTACACCTTACAATCAATCTATGCATTAAATAAAGTTGACCTATTGCTTATAGTTTCTTAGAAACGAACCTAACCATGAAAACTTAACATTGACCATTGAACCATGAAAATGTATGAAGCATCCAGGTCTTCCACCTTCTAAAATATAAAGCTTTCAAGTAGTTAGTTAACACCGCCTGATCACTATCCCTATGTCAAGCTTTCTGCAACAGGGGTCGCAGGTTCGACAAAAAGGAGAAGATTGCCAAGCTTTTTGCCAACTTCCATACTCTTAAAAAAGCTATCTACTATTATATGATTTAGCCAAATAGAGTATAGTGTAACTCCATCTGCAAAGCTTGTTTTGCGTAGAAAAACTGTTCATTGCATGGCAAAGAATAATACATTAAGACAGATAATCAAAGCACCAACAATGCTGTGAGTCAGGCAATCTGACTTGATCACCAAAAGCAGCATTTTTATACATGTAAATTATTACATTTAAATAAATTGCTTCTTTACTAATACTTTATTCTAAGCAGTTGCTTATAGATCTTCCAAGCAGTTGCTTATAGATCTGTTTTGAAGTATTATAGGTCAAGTATATTAATGTGTCAAAAACATTTCTGTGTCCATACTTTCTCTTAATATACACATATGAAAATTAACCATTGTCTACATGCTGTGCTTGTATCATGCTTAGCATGCCTTCATGTTTTTTTACCACTTACATCATTTAAGAATAGATGACTTCATGCCTCTCACCTGAGCTAAATAACCACCATATTGTTCCTCTGTTGTTAAACCACCATTTTTCATGATATACTGGTAAGCTCTGAAATCTTCCCCTCCATCACAGGCATTGTTACCTTCTCCCCAGGAACAATCCATCAATTCTTGCTGTGATAATCTCACCAGATTTCCTGTCTGTTAAATGAAAAATATACAACTCCACTTGAAAATACAAACTGTAAATTTATCAATTTGTGTCATGTTTAATTATTGCAATTTTGCAACAGGATAGGTCTTCACTACAAAACCAACCTTGCATTTTAAATTTTGATAGCATTATATGTGTGCAACATTTCTTAAAATCGCAATAATTAACCTTGCATTTTTGTCTATTGTTCAACCATGACAATTATAAATGCACACATAAACTGAATTTACAGTACAAAACTCACTGTAACATATATCATGAATAGGGCACCCCAAACAACAGCACAGAAGTTTTCCAAAAAATTCTAAATTAAAAACAAACAAGACAAAAAACAAAACATAAAACAAATAGCAATATTAAGACAGCAACACTAGAAGAAAGACTTTCAGCATTTTATTTGAAAGGTTTGCAACTTTTAATTTGATAATTACAAAATGATACTGTATGTGTCAACAGTAAAGCCTTAATCTCAAACAAGCTCTAAATATATGATTCAGTTATGATTCAATCACAAACAGTCATAGATACTTAATGTTTGAACTATACAAAGCTTATAAAGGTATATATATTAGCAGTGAATCATGATGACTAATCAAAACTTTATAAGAGGTACTTTGGCAAGTACCTAGATATAAAATAATTACATCATCAACTTTGCAAGTGTTTAAAGGGGCATTAGCTTGATGACCAATCAAAATATTATAAGAGGTACTTTGCAATATCAAACTTTATGAGAGTGAAATCGAACTTTGTAAGAGGTACTTTGTAAAATCAAACTTTATAAGAGGTACTTTGGCAAGTACCTAGAAATTAATTAATTACATCATCAACTTTGCAAGTGTTTAAAGGGGCATTAGCTACGTTTTAGGATTTATTTCATGTGGAATGATGTTGCTTTCATCTCAATGGCCAATTTCTGCCAAAGCTTTGTGTTTAAAAGTTATGTAAATTAATTTAAAGTCTTAAAGATTAGCTACGAGATATAAATAAAAAATAATATGATTTTTTTGTTCAATCAGTAATGAAAGTGAAATAGTGAAATAATAATATGTTTTTAACAGCCAATTTGGTTCAATTTTGTCAAAATAAGCTAATTTTCTCGCAGTGTTGAAGACCCATTGGTGACCTTTGTCTGTTTTCTGCTCTTTGGTCGGGTTGTTGTCTCTTTGACACAATCCCCATTTCCAGGGATGGGCACGATTACTGACAAATGTAATCGATTAATAATCGATTACATGAAGGATTTTTGTGCAATCGATTAATAATCGATTACTCTAAATTTTGTATGTAATCGATTGCAATCGATTACTTTATCAAAAGTAATTACATTACTTTTCGATTATTATCAATTACATGTTATAAAATATTGAAGAAAGTTTAAACACAACTTATTTAGAGTGGTAATTTAGAACTTTACAAAAACAGCTTTTAAAGCATTGTTTCCAAATATTATGTTGACAGTTGTTTTCTAGATGAAAGCTCTTACAGAGGATCTAAACTATTCAAATATTCTTGAGTGAGTGATGATAAACATGAGAACATTCTTGAAATGAAATCAACAATTGTATCAATTGCTTCCTTATATTGTAGGTCATTTTCTCCATAGTTTGCAAATTTTTGCTGTCATACTGACTTAATTTTGATATTTACTCTTATTTAACAGGATGGTATATTTGAATATAATGAGTATGAGAGGTTTCCTATGAAAAAAAAATATATAAAAAAGAAGAAGAGTTAATTTAACTAATTTTAAAAGATGGAAATTTATAATTTATAGTTACATGAATGAATTTATCCTTTTGTTTGGATAAATCCCCTAATTACAGGTTATACAATTGCCAATGGAGAACAATTTATAACCTAAGGGCAACAACATGTATTAAATCTCTCATTTAATTAAACATAATTGAAATCAAAACATAGTCTGTATCTCATTGATTAGAGGTCTTTGCTCATCTGATTAGTAATTATAAAAACAAGAAGGTTTTTGAGAATTCTTTGTTCTCTTTTCAAAATCATAAACAATTTACATTTTAGTGACACAATGGGATACATGTATCTATTACTGAACAAAAATTTCAATGCATTGGTTCATTGTAAATATGTTTTGTATTCTTTCCTAATTTTGATGTCATAACACTATGACGAATCAACAGTTTATCTACTCTAAGCTAAAGTTCTAAATATAATTGAAAATTAAGCTTTAAAAAATGTTATTACATATATAAAAGCATTCTTCTTTAGTATAGTACAGAACTTAACTTAGGACTACAAGTACATTTATGTATTTTCCAATTTTGAATCTATTTTCTTATTTTTAACATTTTTGTGTTTAATAAAAAATGTCTCAAATTATTGACAAGCATTGGAAGTCATTTATTTCAAAAGCTGGAAATAAAGTAAAATTTGTTAGCCTAGGAGATTTGGTTTATCAAAATGCAGCTTGAGACAACAGATCTAAATAAGGTATTTGATAAACTCTCAAGTAATATTGATGCATTCTATTTTATCAGTACTTTAAACTGATGAATACATGCAGTTGTCTACTTTCATTAAAACTAGGTTTTATTTCAAACTATATTACTAAAGTAATCGAAATGTAATCGAAAAGTAATCGATGATTACATCATAATTTTTGCTGTAATCGATTAAATTACGATTGCATGTAATCGAAAATGTTGTCGATTACAGATTACTGTCGATTACTTGAAAAAATGTAATCAATTACAATCGATTACGATTACAGATTACGATTACCCCATCCCTGCCCATTTCCATTCTCAATTTTAAGAAACATGGCTGATGATTTATTCACTTGCAAGTGAATAATTCGACCTCATTGAATAGGTATTCATGTGACCTTCAATGTAATCCCTTAGCTGGACATGGGTAACACATGTATTCAGCTATTAAAAGGAAAAGAATGTCAACATTGAAAGTGAAACAAGGATGAACCATTTGGTTGACTGATTCGATCCACACAAAATCATTCTTATACAGGTTAAATCGATGATTAACATACTTTTTAACCTACAATATGAAATCAAACAGACTAAGAAAAATCCAATTGCACGTGGTCACTATCTGTTTATATTTATATTGGGTTATATGACTGTCTGCAGTCTTCGGAGGTCTTCTCAATGGTTAATTAGATGGTGACTAGACAAAAATTCACACGAAATGTTGATACATATTATCAAGTCTATGCATTGTTAATTGTTTATTTTATTTTAGATTTTTTGTAATTTGGATATACGTTTTAGTATGTTATAAGTCAAATCGGTGAACATGAATATGACAGCTTATGCCCCTTTAAATATATTCTGTTATATATTTTAAATATAAATTGAGAAACCTTGCTGGAAACGAAAAAGTACTTTTCATGATGTTCAAACACTAACATTTTTCTCCTAATGAACAATGTTTTAGAAGGTAAAAATCTAATAAATATCATATGTTAAGAAATGGCTGAAAATCATAACCATGATAACATTGGGGAATAAATCTTGTAGATACTGCTTACCCCATTAAAACTTTATAAATCAATTTTTTTAGAAAACTTTATTCCATTCTTGAATCAGAAGTGCTCCCCAGAAAAATAGCTGACCTTGGCCAATCATCTGTTCACACACTATGATTTCAGCTGTTAATATTAAGCTAATCACTTCTACTGATATAAACATAAAAGACACTGTGAAAAAAATGTTTACGGTCCTAAAAATAAACAGGTCTGCACTGGTGTACACTATAAATATAATTTATGCTTTTTCATTTTCTACAGGCAATACTTGCATTAAAATTATTAGAAAAAGCAACATAAATGTATAAACTTCCTAATTAACTGTAAATAACAAGACACTAAAATTTTGTCATTTGCCATTACATTTAATAGACATCAGGTTTTTTGGAATCTTCACAGATCTTGCTCAGAATAGTAAATAATTACCTTAAGGGAATAAGCTCCTTCTATTGTCCCTTACCTTAAAAAATAAGCTCCCTCTATTGTCCCTTACCTTAAGGAAAAAATCTCCTTTTATTATACCTCAGTTATCATTTTCTGTATAAAATAAGTACACAATATTTTCACCATTTTTCAAATTGCAAGTGTTGAACTATTTGACCAGTCAATAGTTTCCAACTATTTGCCCTCGATGAAACTGACCGCAAGCATAAATATATTTCGCGGAATTTCAACTGCAGCTACGGGATTGGAAAATGTTGAGAATACTGCGGGAATTACGACGTTGCGTTTAATTTATTATATCTAGGGTTGACGTCAGTGCAGGACGTAGCCTTAGCATTCAGAATATATATGAAGTAAACGTTAAACAGCATGGTTGTGTTTCTGCTTTTTATATTACGATAGTTGATTAAGCCCTGACATATTTATTGTCTGTTGTCTCCTTCGGTATAATAAAACACTCACTGACTGGATATTCGTGGAATAGTATGTTTATTGTTCCCTCAGATACAACTATTGCCCTCGGCTACGCCTCAGGGCAATAGTTGCACCTCCAGGACAATTAACTTACTATTCCACTCCTACCAAGTCAATAAGTATAAACTATTGTCCCTTTCCTTAGGAAATAAGCTCCTTCTACTGTCCCTTACCTTAAGGAAATAAGCTCCCTCTATTGTCCCTTACCTTAAGAAATAAGCTCCTTCTATCGTCCCTTACCTTCAGGAAATATGATCCCTCTATTGTCCCTTACCATAAGGAAATAAGCTCCCTCTATTGTCCCTTACCTTAAGGAAATAAGCTCCCTCTATTGTCCCTTACCATAAGGAAATAAGCTCCTGCTCCTTCTATTGTCCCTTACCTTAGGAAATAAGCTCCCTCTATTATCCCTTACCATAAGAAATAAGCTCCCTCTATTGTCCCTTACCTTAAGGAAATAAGCTCCCTCTATTGTCCCATACCTTAAGGACATAAGCTCCCACTATTGTCCTTTACCTTATTGAAGGAAACAAGCTCCTTCTATTGTCCCTTACCTTAAGGAAATATGCTCCCTCTATTGTCCCTTACCTTAAGGAAATAAGCTCCCTCTATTGTCCCTTACCTTAAGGAAATAAGCTCCCTCTATTGTCACATATCTTAAGGAAATAAGCTCCCACTATTGTCCTTTACCTTATTGAAGGAAATAAGCTCATTCTTTTGTCTCTTACCTTAAGAAATAAGCTCTCTCTATTGTCCCTTACCTTAAGAAAATAAGCTCCTTCTATTGTCCCTTACCTTAAGAAATAAGCTCCATCTACTGACCCTTACCTTATTGAAGGAAATAAGCTCCTTCTATTGTCCCTTACCTTAAGGAAATAAGCTCTCTCTTTTGTCCCTTACCTTAAGGAAATAAGCTCCTTCTGTTGTTACTTTCCTTAGGAAATAAGCTCCTTCTATTGTCCCTTACCTTAAGGAAATAAGCTCCCTCTATTGTCCCTTACCGTAAGGAAATACGCTCCCTCTATTGTCCCTTACCGTAAGGAAATAAGCTCCCTCTATTGTCCTTTACCTTAAGGAAATAAGCTCCTCCTATTGTCCCTTACCTTAAGGAAATACGCTCCCTCTATTGTCCCTTACCGTAAGGAAATAGGCTCCCTCTACTGTCCCTTACCTTAAGGAAATAAGCTCCCTCTATTGTCCCTTACCTTAAGAAATAAGCTCCTTCTATTGTCCCTTACCTTAAGGAAATACACTCCCTCTATTGTCCCTTACCTTAAGGAAATATGCTCCCTCTATTGTCCCTTACCTTAAGGAAATGTGCTCCCTCTAGTGTCCCTTACCTTATTAAAGAAAATAAGCACCTCCTATTGTCCCTTACCTTAAGAAAATAAGCTCCCTCTATTGTCCCTGTTGTTCCAAAACTCCAACAGGATCCACACACTGCCTGGTCTTTGACAGGATTTACAGCACCTAAAATAGTATTTTTCATTAGTTCCATTCTAATTTATTTCTTTTATTTAAAAAAAATCAATTTTAATCTGAAGTATGAAACTATAAAATAACCTAAAAAAATCTTACCATATAATCTCCAATCAAGATTGGCTGGAACATCTTTTAAGTTATATTTGGATTTTTCAAATGGTAGACCGCCATGGTTACCAGGTGTATATCTAAATCCTCTCATTAATTTCAGTTCTTCTGATGATTTATCTGCAAGGTGATTGACAGCAAGTCTGTATGTTAAACCAGCTCTGTTCTTAGAGTGGATAAATCTACAATTTAAAGTAGATGTTATTACATATTCCAAGCAATTGTACCTCATGGAAAACTTTAGTCATACTAGAGGATATATAAAGCTATTGGACATCACTATAATACATGTAAAATAACAATCTGAATTCTGCATTAACATATAACCTGTCTAAACTGAATCCTGCATTAACAGGTAACCTGTCTAAACTGAATCCTGCACTAACAGGTAACCTGTCTAAACTGAATCCTGCACTAACAGATCTAGAGAACCTGTATAAACTGAATCCTTCATAAACAGTTAATTAATTGATTGATTGATTGGTGTTTAAGGCCACTTTCAGCTCTGTTGTCTATTTTGTGTGGTTAGTTTTTATTGGTGGAGGATTTACCTATACATGTCCAACCTATTAGTGATATTTGCTGCAGATCAGACAAAATAATAGGAGGGTGAATGTGAAAATAATCTCTGTTTCATTGATACAAAGACAGAGAAGACATACAAAAATATACCAAAAAAACACTAAATTAAAGTAGAGCAAAATGTGATAGTATAAAAATCTGTTTTTTACAATGTTTTCTGTTTAAAAAAGTACAAAAAAAGCCATTCACCTTGAAAGTTCTTAACTAATATATTAATTTGAACAACATATTATAAGAACAAAACTAAGTATAATTCAATACTGACCTAACATTATGTCTAAATATATGTTTTCTCTGCTCATGCTCCTCTACTGAGGGGTATTGTTTACTGTGTTGATTTTTATAGAAGCCAAACATTTGGTCAATATGTGTTTGGTCATTGTTTATATATTCTCTCATTGGGTTCATCATGATTCTATGTTCTTTTATTCCTGGACCAGGGAATCCTCCACATGTCATGTCTATCAAAAAAAGGAAGAAATACATATACTTATCGCTATTTTACGAAATTTTCCTTTGATCTTGCTGACTGATAATTTCCTTTCTCAGCGGAGTCGAGTGATATGAAAAATTATCGCTAGAAACTAAGGGGCACGTGACATTGCTAATGAAATTGATAACGTCGTCATAGGTAAAATAGCAATAAACAGATTATCATTGGTCATCTGTACTTGATTGCTTTTCTCACTTTCGCTGTACTGGCTCAAGCGAGAAAATCAATCTCGTTGAGATGATCAATGATAATCTATCAATATTGCATCATGCTATATAAAAATATTGACATAGTATAAAAATTGTATGCAAGATATGGGTATTCATCAATGAGACAGCAACCCAATATCGCAAAAAACAACAGCCAATAGACAGGTGTCTCTACAATATATATATATGTCAAGCTCTAGATTGTCAGGAGTGTAAAATAAGACTTTGAAATTGTCAATATATTTAAAAGTCTATCAAATACTAAATTCTCAAATTGACAAAAACAAAGAAGTTTGTTTTTTCATATATCCAAGGCCTATCATATTTATTCATCAGCTTACTTTCAGAGGTATAGTGGTTAATTAAGGTTCCATAGTAATCATTTTTTATTGCATTGTTTAAAGAAATATATATCCTTATTAAAGGGGCATTAGCTGTCAAATTCATGTTCATCGATTTGACTCAAATTCTCATATTTGATTTATAACATACTAAAACATATATAACAATTACAAAAAGTCTAAAATAAACAATTAACAATGCATGGACTCAATAATATGTATCAACATTTCGTGTGTATTTTTGTCTAGATGTCATCTAATTAACCACCGAGAAGACCTCCCAAGACTGCCGATGGTCATATAACCCCATATATAAACATAAATATAAACATAAACTGATAGCGACCACATGCAATTGGATTGTTCTAGGTCTGTTTGATTTCATATTGTAGGTTAAAAAATATGTTTATCATCGTTTTTAGCTGTGTTAGAATGATTTTTTTGTGGATCAAATCAGTCAACCAAATGATTCATCCTTGTTTCACTTTCAATGTTGACATTCTTTTCCTTTTAATAGCTGAATACATGCGTAACCCATCTCCAGCTAAGGGGTTAAATTAAAGGTCACATGAATACCGATTCAAAGAGGTTGAATTATTCACTTGCAAGTGAATAATTCATCAGCGATTTTATTTATCTTATTTTGACAAAATTGAACTAAATTGGCTGCTGAAAGCAAATAAGTATTTTACTATATCACTTTCATTTATGATTGAACAAATAAAAAATCATATTTTATTTTTGTGTTTATCTTGTAGCTAATGCAGTGTTCCAGCTAGGTCGTTTTCACAGGGCGGTCCGCCCACCCTTTCCCGAGTGCCGCCCTGTGCCCTTTTTCTGATGCCCTGTGCCCTTTTTAAGACGCCCTGCCCTTTTTCGTAAGAACATGCCTTTATTGCCGTAATATTTTGATGAAAATACAATTATTCTACCTGAAGTCATATTTATGACAAGTTTATGACCCTCAGCTAATTAACATTTACAGCAGGTGTAATAAGTTGTGATTACAGATAATCCGCTTATCGACATCGGATGGGTCATTAATCCATTAATTAAACTTCTTAATTGACCATTGTAATAATTTTTCTCATTAAATTCGGTCAGTCAGCATTTCAATTTCAATATTTCTCAAAAGATGACAATTTGCGTTTGATGTATCCGTAGATTGTCTGTTGTTTATATGTCAAAGATTTTTTTTTTAAATTGATCTTTTAAACTAGTTTTAATCTAGAAGAAAATAGAAAAAATGCTTGACTGTACCTTTCATTGAATATCTATATCCAAATTAAATTAATTAAAGCTGTAATCCATGATCACAAATTGACTGCTTTGTTTACATTTGTTGAAAGCCATGTGCTTTTTTGGAGAGAAAATTCGGAAAACCCCTTTAACAAGAAACAGTAATATTTCATTGTTGATCATAAATGCCCTTTTAAACATTGAAATACTCTAAAAAGGCAACACTTAATCTGAGGGCCTATCATATATCCAAATTTTAACATATACTTACAATTTATATCCAATAATTATTCAAAAATTAAAAAAAAATGTTTTGAAGATTTGTGACTTTAATACAGAATGTTTAATAAGACTGTTATCACAGAGATATGTCTCGCCTTTTTGTAATTTTGATAATGCAAATGTTGAAATTAAAATAGCAATACTTTACCATGTAAGTTATGCAAATATTCAAAGTCGATGAACCATGACTGAAGGTACATGGCTAAAAAATCTACATGAAAATGAGATGTGCCAATGCTAATATAACTGCATACCAAATACCATTGACTCATTATAAGTCGTTCCCTTTAAACAAACCTAAACACAAACATTAACTTGTAAACTATTTAAAAGTTTTAAAGTCAATGAACCATGATGAGGGGGTGGGGCTATATAATCTCCATGGAAACGATACTTGCAAATTCCAATAAATTTGCATGTAAATATCATTGACTTAACATTAGCAGCTCATCTTAAACTGATCTAATCACAAACTAATACATGTAAACTAAGCAAAAGTTTCAAAGCAATAGACCATGACTGAGGGGGGCAGGGCCAAATATTCTCCATGGAAATGAATTGTGCTAATGCTTATACAACTGAATACCAATTAACATTGGCCTACCACTAATAGTTCCCCTTGAACTGACCTAATCACAAACTAATACATGTAAACTAAGCAAAATTTTCAAAGTCAATAGACCCTGACTAAGGGGGCAGAGCCAAATAATCTCCATGGAAATAAGATATGCCAATGCTTATACAACTGCAAAACAAATATCATTGACTTACCACTAGTGGTTCCCCATAAACTGACCTAATCACAAACTAATACATGTAAACTAAGCAAAATTTTCAAAGTCAATAGACCATGACTGAGGGGGCAGGGCCAAATAATCTCCATGGAAATGAGAGGTGCTAATGCTAATACAACTGTATACCAAATATCATTGACCTACCACTTGTGGTTCACCATAAACTTGACCTAATCACAAACTAATACATTGTTGACTGTGCCTCCGCCGCCGACGACGCCGGAAACAGCATACCTATGTCTCGCTTTTTGACTCCGTCAAGGCAAGGCAAAAATTAAATTTAAAAAAAATCACTTTGCAAATTAACATTCAAAGTACCAGTAGGTAATCTATGGCAGGTTATAATAGCTTTGCCTTCTTATCATTTTGATTGAATACAAAGTACTGAAGAGTTGCCTCCTCAGTCACCTGTTAGCGGCAATTTGATGGATTTATCCATACAGAAGGTCAAATTATTGTACATTTACATAGAACTAGTACTCTTAAAACTTGCTTAATTTTGAAAGTCTGCCATACTTATTTCATCTTAAATCAATTAGAACTTACTTGCTGGTGGATCAAATTTTGAGGATGATATGTCATTTGTTCCAAAATTGATATAATCCAGATAATATTTGTCATAATGTGAGCCAAGCAGTGAGTCATATCCAAACATCTCATAACGAACTGGCATTTTACCATCTGGTCCTACCCACATTGTGTAAACATTTTTCTTTTTTCCCTGGACATCAACTTTCTGCCACTTTGTACAATTATTACCACTCTTCATCTCCACACCAATCATCTTTAATCATCATAAGAAACAGTTAATAAAAAAAAGAAAATATAAATCCTTAAAGTCATATGAAACGAGTTTCTTGCAAATATAATGTTAAGGAAGCACGTTTTTATTACAAGCCCATAACGTATAATCGACCAAAAAATATTTCATTCAGTGATTGTCAATGGTGTGTCACGTTTTTTTCCTTACACTTGTGCTGTGCAGTTGCCGAAGTTCTAAAGAGAGGTGTCATGGTTAAGGTCACTGCATTCAGAAAAGCTATTAGAGTACGGGAAGACAAAAATCCATAAGCAGTACATTTCTGAAGATTTTGATAAGATAAAGAATTTTCTTTTACATGAAAGGGGTCGTGTACACTTGTTTTATAGTAAAACTTAGCCATTCAAGTATATAAAACATATTCAACTTTTTTTTTAAATTTGAAGTTTCATAACTCAGTGCTTTAAGGAAGTAAAACTATTCAGTTGGTAGTGATTTTTATCATCAACCTCTAAAAACTACCAGTTCCAATTATTTTTAGTCTGGTGAATTAGGAATTGAGTGGTCTCAACTCTGGGATTTGTTATAATAAACAAAATAAGTATAACTACGTCCACTTCAGAACAATGTTGCTTTAACATGAGTTCAAACAAGTTTTTCGATTTCAATTTTCCCATTTAATGCACTGATTAGACTGGTTAAAAATGATGAATTTAGGAACAATGGTATTAACATAAAAGTAAGTATAGATAATTGAGATGCTTAAATGTACTTATCTAATACACAGTTCCCATTCAGATTAAGAATGGACAAAACACTTTTTCAAGTTTAATTATAATATTCATTAATTTTAATCAATAAAATGGTTAAAAGTTTAAAACCATTTCAAGGCAAATTACAAATATCCATATTTTGCAATGAAAAACCCCCTAAATTTGTTTTAACATAAAATAAAATAGGAACTGTATTATGAACAATCTCTAAAAAAATTCTTAAGAAGTAGACTTCTGAATATATTGTTTGATTAAATTGTAGCAGACAGAAAGACAAATGATCTTGTCACTACATAACTGTTGCTTATTAGCTAAGGGTATAAATAGGAAAAAACAATTCTTCACATTATGGGTAATACAATAAGTCATTTTGATTCATAAAGGAGTTTGTTGGCGTAAAAGCCCTTAATTGATGACGAACCTACTATATGTATTATGTCATACTATATAAGATGTATACAGATTGACTAATGAGTCAAACTTGTACATGATCCATCTTGCAATATGAATTAAGGTAAAAGTGATACTTATAGATACAAATATTTGGTTTGCAAGCTTGATTGTACTTGTAGAATACTTATTATTAACAGGATATCACATCTTAATTTTTACTGTGATGTTGTTTTTAGAGCACAAAAATTTAGATACATGTACAACCCATGTAAGCTTAACCTATAGTTGCTGACTTCTACGTCATTTGGTCTCTGGTGGAGAGTTGTCTCATTGGCAATCATACCACATCTTCTTATTTTTATATTATCTATCCTTTGAATAAACTTATTCTCAAAGATTATCAATTTAACATAGCAATAAGATCTTTGGATATTGTTTTCATTGGTACATTTTACTTACATTAATTTTCTTATCAATAAATTAAAACATAACTAAATATGTATTGCTATACAGTTATAAAGGCTTACAGTTCTACATCGTGTCGCGACTTATATTTTAGCGTTGCACAAGGTCATGTTTTACTAGACTGTTTATGACGTCTTTACACTAAATCCATTGAATGTGCACTGATTGATATTTTGTCTCTGATACATGATTTTTGACTTGGAACAAACTTTCAGTAACTGTGAGTACTCTCAGATCGGTTCTATTTGTTTATAGCATTTTTGTTAATTGTATTTTGTGCTTTGTATCGATCTGATGAGTCAAGCTTATATAATTTTTAAATTAGCAATAAGACTATGACAATAAATGAATGGGATTTTAGTAAACTTTATCACATCTACCAATTCAAAGATGAGTATAAAAGTAAAGTAAGATTTACATTAAATCCTGTGAGATCTGGTAGAATGGACTGGATCGTAACAGCATCATCGTTGTTTGTTCCGTTGACTTGGAAACACATATCCATATTCAATTGTTTCTCTGTTGACATGGGAGCCAGTTTGTAACTTACACCAAACTTTGTCATATCTGATCTCTGTATAGTAATAACCATACCTTAAAGTTAAAAGTTTCTATTATAATTTTTTAAGTCTTTGCAGAATTTAATATCCCACTATAGTGCTGACTTGAAAGAATTCAACACAGAATCAGTATGATACCCTTATTGAATGATTTGATTATGGCTACCAGTTGTTTTTATTATTTATTTATTACTATCACATTAGAATCTTAATTTAGTAAAATATGTATTATTCTTTGACTGATTATCTGTCTGTAACAAAAGCTGCTGCTTAAGTCAATAGTATAGGGACTACTGGCCATCATGATGATCATCAAAGACCTTCAATCACCTTAGTCATGTCAAGCATGTCAAGATGAAGAACTACAATAAAAATTATGTTTCTTTGATGTTTTCTTTTGGTCTAATATTTGATGAGATTGTTGTCTGATATACATGCATCCCAACATCCCCAATGTAATTGAAATATCCATGTTTCACTTACATGGAACTGAAGATACTCCATTTTACTTTCTGTTCTAATAATTATTATACCTACATTGTATAGCTACCAATGACATACATTGACATATCTGCCTCCAAATTTTTGAAGGTGTGTATCATAATTACAAAATTGAAGATCTTGAAAAAGTTTTAAAAACAACTAGAGGCTCTAAAGAGCCTCTGTCGCTCACCTGATTCTACTTTGGTTTTGGAAAAAATGTAAAAATAGATTAAAATCATAACAGATACCCTAATAATGATTGAGGCCAAATTTGGTTTAATATTGGCCCCGTAATTTAATCAAAAATCCTGGTGGCCATCTTGAACAGTAAATCGACAACAAAGTAGCCACACTTCATCAGCACCTCATAAGGAACATTTATGCCATGTTTGGTTTCATTCCATTCAGTGCCCCTCTAGAAGAAGCACTTGTATGTATTTCCCATAGGGTCTTATGTTAAACTAAGTCCCCTGCTGGTGGCAATCTTGGATGATGGTTCGCCTACAAAGTAACAACACTCGGTAAGCACCTCATTAGGAACATTATTGCCATAATTGGTTTCATTCTAAGCAGTGGTTCTCTAGAAGAAAACATTTGTATGTATTTCCCATAGGGTCCTATGTTAAACTTACTCCCCCTGCTGGCAGCCATCTTGGATGACAAATCAGATACAAAGTAACAACACTTGGTCAGCATCTCAAAAGAAACATTCATACCATGTTTGGTTTCAATCAAGTTAAGCAGTTTTCTAGAAGAAGACATTTGTATACATTTCCCATTTGGTCCTTTGTTAAAATAAGTCCCCTGTTGGCAGCCATCTTGGTCAATGGATTTGCTACAAAGTAACAACACTTGGTTAGCATCTCATAAGGAACATTATTGCCATATTTGGTTTCATTCCATTCAGTGGTTCTTCAAAAGAAGACTTTTGTATGTATTTCACATAGGGTCCTTTGTTAAACTAAGTTCCCGGCTGGCAGCCATCTTGGATGATTGATTGGCTACAAAGTAACAACACTTGGTCAGCACCTCATTAGGAACATTCATGCCATGTTTGGTTTCATTCCATTCTGTGGTTCTCTAAAAGAAAACATTTGTATGTATTTCCTATAGGGTCCTATGTTAAACTAAGTTCCCCGCTGGCAGCCATCTTCTATGATTGATTGGCTATAAAGTAACAATACTTGGTCAGCACCTCATTGGGAACATTCATGCCATGTTTGGTTTCATTGCATTCAGTGGTTCTCTAAAAAAAAGACATTTGTATGTATTGTCTATAGGGTCCTATGTTAAACGAAGTCCCTCCCCCCCCCCCCCCCCCCCTGGTGGCCATCTTGAAACAACACTTGGTCAGCACCTCATAAGGAACATTCAGGCCATGTTTTATTTCATTCCATTTAGTGGTTCTCTAAAAGAAGATATTTGTATGTGTTTCCCATAGGGTCCTATGTTAAACTAAGTCCCCCTCTGGAGGCCATCTTGGATGATGGATCGGCTTCAAAGTCACAACACTTGGTCAGCACCTCATAAGGAACATTCATGCCATGTTTGGTTTCATTCCATTCAGTGGTTCTCTAAAAGAAGACATTTGTATGTATTGTCCATAGTGTCCTACAAAATGTATATTAAACAAAGTCCCCCGCTGGCGGCCATCTTGGATGATGGATCGGCTACAAAGTAACAACACTTGGTCAGCACCTCATAAGGAACATTCATGCCATGTTTGATTTCATTCCATTCAGTAGTTCTCTAGAAGAAGTTCAAAAGTTCAAAAGTTAACGACGATGACGAACGAGGGACGACAAGTGATGATAAAAGCTCACTTGGACCTTCGGGCCAGGTGAGCTAAAAAGTAGAATGGAGAGTTGTCATATCCTTGTAATTGAGGCGTAGACAAAGGATCTGTATTTTAATCAGATTACCATCCATCCCATTTTTCCCTTTCTAATTTATGAATGGAACTTATTTCCTTTTACATGTAAATAAGGTTCTAGCAGAATGTTCCTCCAATTGTATGAGGCATATTCCTTAAATAAATTGACAGTTACGTAGTATTTGTTAATGTGAAAATTTCACATGGTGAAAAATCCATTTCGGGAAAAATGATTCAAAATTCTTTTTAAGTATATTCCTTTTGATTTTCCTGTTTAATTTAATTTCAATGTCGAGTTTCTTGCATTCATTATATGCCCTGTGCTACTTTGTGAAATTGTTAGAAAATAGTAACTTTTGTCAGGCAACTATTGACAGTAACAGCAGCAAGTGTTTATTAAGTTTCTATTTATTTTTATTATTGAATACTTCAACAAATGCATCTTCAATAACATATGTAGCTGGTATTGCTGCATATCAAAGATATACCGTGCACTCCTCTAAAAATAACAGAAGTTAACTCACTCGAAGATCAAGGGAAAAATTACCATTCATGTTACAAATGTTAAATATTTCACAAGTTGGCACCAACAAGTGCCTTGAGCATGTTGAGTCTATTTCAAAATGACAGTTCCTTCTACAAATATTAACTAAAAATTTACAATATATATAAACTTTCTATTTCCATACCGCCATAATAATCTATTCTGCTTTTGTTATTTTTGGCATCATAATAAGCTGAAAATGGTTCATTGATCTCAGCATATGGCAGTTGTAGCGTTCCCTCTACAGTGTAAGTTAATGCATTCCAATTCGGTGCTGTGGCTTTGGTGCTGAAGGATACACCTGAAATCAAAATTAAGTCATGTAAGGAGAAATAATTATATACATGTTCAATAAATGTATGTATAACAGTAAAATTTTATATTGATTAATGTCATGAAGGTCCATTCAACATTGTTCAAGAAGATCAAGAAAAAAAAATTAAATCCACAAAAAATCATGGGAAGTAGTACTGCAGTTCTTATTTTGAAATTGCTCTGATCATGATAACTAAGATTTAAAATGATTAAAATATATTTCTTTTCACATGTTTCAGCTTTAACCCAAACATACAGAAAGTGGTGATAAATTTCACTCATAAATCTAAGAACGTTTGAATATTTTTCATTGACACAAAGCAAAATAATTTGATCCCAGTTGACTATGTTATATGGTTACCTGTCAAACATTAAATTTCAAAAACTTTCATTTTGACTTCATTGGCAATAATTGACTATATAGAGACAGTTCACAAAATGTTAACTACGCTTGGAAAAGGTATAGAACTTGATCATGTTTACATAAAGAAGAATATCTGTTTATAGGATACCATATATATCCAGCTAAACTATTACATAAATGATTTCAGGGATCACCGCAGGCTATTTTAGGGTGGAGCTTTGATTTCCAAGACCACTCTTGATTTTCTCAGCATAAACCTTACATTTTGAAATTATAATATGAGATATATAAATCTATATACTTATGGGAAATAGTTCTTAATCATTATCAGTGTAATTTTGAAAGACTATTATTAAGTCTTATTTAATTTGTTGGTCAATATTTTAATGTATATGGTGTATATAATTAATGAGTATTGCAATATGAATAAAATTTACACATGTTTTTCAACAGTGGGATTTTTTTCTGTGATCCATTCATTTCAATGCTTTCTAAACTATGTAATCTGAGTCAAAACATATTTGGCTTATATTTTTAAAATTTACAAAATAATAAAATTGTGAATGGAAATGGGGAATGAGTCAAGAAGACAACAAACTGACCAAAGAGCAAAAAACAGCCCAAGGCCACCAATGGCCTGGTCTTTAACACTGCGAGATAATCCAACATAGGCGGGCTTCAGCTGGCTCCTAAACACAAATGTGTACTACTTCAGTGAAAATGGATGTTACACTAAACTCCGAAACATATACTAGTTCAGTGAAAATGGACGTTACACTAAACTCCGAAACATATAAATGAACTAAAATTAAAAAACATGCAAGACTAACAAAGGCCAGAGGCTCCTGACTTGGGACAGACGCAAAAATGCCAATGTAGAATAAACATGATAAACACACACACGGCAATACGCACAGTAAAACTTAGCTTAAAAGAAGTCCGAGTCAGATGTCAAAATAGGTAACAGAAGAACCTAAGCAAAATGACAATGATACATAAATTAACAAAGGACTACTAACAGTTACTGACATGCGAGCTCCAGACATCAATTTACCTGATTGAAAGATTATGTCTTCATCATATGAAAATCAAGCACAATCCCTCCCGTTAGGGGTTTAGTATCATTATAACCATACCATCATAAAATATATGAGGAGAAGATAACCCGTATCATGCCAATAAGTGGTTTGAGAATAAATGTGTTTATTTCCGATGCAAGGACCCTATGAGTGAATCAATATTAATCCCAAAATATGCCATCTTTAATGACCTGACAACAGTATCGTAACTACATCCCTTCTTAATAAGTCTCTTTAAAGGTAGGTTTGGTTAGCTTTTGAGGTGAATGACCACATTTGTGTGCTTTGTATAAAATATTACCATAAAAGATTGGATGTGAAATACCTGAACGTATAACATGTACAAGATGTCTGCATGTTGATTTATATTTACGAATGATGTCCTTGTATGGATGATAAAATTTAGTAAATGTTTTGACTAGTTTGTGATAATGAAAACCCTGGTGTAATAATTTTTCAGTAATACAATAATAAACATTTGACCTGAGTTTCATTTTAGAAAATAGGAAACAAAATGCATGAAATGACTACATTTGTATCTGTGTAATTTATATTGCTATCATAATCTTATCTGGCACAATACTGGTATAAAAATTTTGTGCAAGTATTGTATTCCAGTATTGTACCAGTATTGTGGTTTTTTTTTAAATAAACAATATACATATAGGTAATTAATCTTTAAATTTATTAAAGGTGTCACATATATAGGTGTCTTCCCATTTATCCAACTTTTTAAAATAAGGTATTCTCATTTAGCCAACTTTTTATTTTTGTTAATTATTGGGTTGTTTGTTTAGCAGTCAGGGGTACTACTTAAACAAGTGATTTCAGAATCACTCCCTCAAGTGATTTTGGCTGTGAAATATTAAAAATTTTCACACAGACTTTTTAAAATCACTGAAACAAGTAATTTTAGAAGTTAAAATGTAATCACTTTAATAAGTGTTTATATCATTTTCTTGATATTTTTCCCACAAGCTTGATTTTTTTATTGGTAAAAAGACAACAATTCCATTGAAAAAACAACTATGTATATGCAGAAATTGTCTTTTGCTTGATAAGCCTGACACTTTTACAGTTTTTTTAGAATATGCAAAAACTGGAATAGTTTGGAGATTAGGTCATAACCTTGAAGTAGATCATTCTAACTCTAAAGAAAACCAATCAGGTTACCTAATATTGTTGATCATTGTCTGATAGTAAGAGTAGTTAATGAATTTTTGATTACAGAAAAATTCCCAAGGGTACTTTTAAAAGCTTTAGCGCACTAACTTACTGCCAAAGCGCACTGGTGAAATTAATATACAAAGAAAAAGGGATAATTGATTTATGTAGGAAAATTATAGAAAAGATTGTGAAAATATGGAAAATCAATGAAATTAGCATTTGAAGATCAAAGAAAACACTAAAATCACTTAAATAGGTGATAACTGAATTTATCAAATCACTGAAATAAGTGATGATGAAATCACTTGTTTAAGTAGCACCCCTGACTGTTTAGTAATAATAAGGTGTCTTTCTAAAATTTGACAGTAAATTTGTTCCTGTATGTTTTTATATTATTTAAAAAATATATATAAAATAGGCGATAGTAAACTTGTTACATTTTATTTTTAAATAAAATTTAGTATATTTTAAATAATAAATAAATGTTTCATCATTTATACAGAAGAAACCCAAAAATCAGTAATATTTTTATATTAACATTTTATGAAAGTAAAAACATGTGAAAGATCATATTGAATAAAATAGAATTTAATTTTTTACGATAAAATGCAACAAAAGTACAAAATAAAATATCAAAGGCTGTTTATTCCACTTCTGCCAGCGCATCTGGAAAAAGGTACAGACTCTTGGTTTGACCGAAGAATATTAGAACGATCCATTACTTCATCAACACGTACGACGAGTATCAGCACTTCCTTTAGTACCTCCTTACCAAATTGAAGAAGTATGGTTCTACGCACTGAATAACTACCAGACCGAAGATGCACAAGTCACCAGCTTTAATGACTACGTCACAGAACAGTGGGTTGACAGAGAACCAGAACGATGGAACCACTTCACTACCGTAGGACCAAGGACAACAAACCATTTGGAAAAAATGAACGAAGAGGATCTATTACACTAAAAAAAGCTCCATCTCATTGACAAATCTCTTCGTGAATAAAAGTGCAACTGATATTTTTCTATCCAATTCACATTTAAATTAACGGTTAAAAAACTTAAAGATACTTTCAAATGATTTACATTACATTAACTAAATGTCAGTTGCACATTTTAACATGCTATGCTAAATAATACTACAGAAAATTTAATCCGGGTATAATTTTCAGTCTTATTTTTCACCTGTCATTCAACCCAAACTCTAATTGAAAAACCCTTTGTTCTTGATTACCTTTGATCTCATCTATCCAACTTTTTTTTTTTACCTGTACTACCCATAATTTTAAAAAGTTGGATAAATGAGAATGAACCCATATATATGCATAATGAAATTAACATACAATGTATGACATGACAATTTTATAAGGAATGATTGGACATATAGATTGTATGTTTAAATGATGGTACACTGCGATTGTCATCAAAGAAAGTTTTAAATCTGCAGATTTTTTTCTTCTTAAGGGAACAGTACTGTCCCAGCATTTCAACAAACTCTTTATTTTCTTCTATCTTTTCTTTCAGCTCTAGCACTCTCTTTCCAAGACTTGTAGTATATTTTAGTGAATTTTATATTGACATTGCTGTTATAGCTGCTGTATCATCAGCAATGGTATTGTCTATTTCTTCTTCAGATGGCATTTCTGCAACCCTCCTCTTTCTGTATTGGTATTCAGTCTCTGTGGACTTTTCTTACGCTTAACAACATGACCAGCTTCTTCAGATGGCACTTGTACAGCTCTCTTACTATCGTAGGTGATGGAGTGCTTGTCTAGTACTAGTATTTGTACTAGTTGATATATCTGCAACGAATTGTGTTGCCCATGGTTCTGAATCATCTGCTTTAATTACCCTAAACATTCATGCAGTTAAATTGATTAAAATCAGGTTCCCCTATTAAGCAACTTTTTATGTTTAATGGATATTGATATCTTTTATTGTGAAAGATAAATTAGAAAATAAAGACCAACAAATGTATATAATCTTAGTATAAAATATCTGTAAAAAATATATTATGACATACATGTAAATGCTGAATTTACAGTGTTAGAGTGTAATAATTTGCTTGAATTTATTTAACAATAACTCAGATGATAATAAGCTTTTATTTTATTTTACCTAAATTGAATTAAATAAAACATAGAAATATGATAAATTAATAGCAATTATTTTATATAATTAACAACTGTTGGAATAATATGAGTTAATTACAATAATCTTTTGTTTATTTGTGTAACATGTATCTTTTTGATTTTAATTAGGGCTTATGAGTATCATGATTATTTTTAACTGGTTGATGATTAATTTCACAATATTCCTCTTTAATCTTTTTGAGTTTATTTAATCCCCCTTTGATCTTCAATATCTAATTTTGCTTAAAATTCATTTTTTTTATTATACACCTTAAGTATAGTCAACAATACAACTACAATACTGGGTTATCAGTAATTTACCAGTATTGATGTTTTTTTTTTTAAAAAGTTACAATACTGGTACAAAATTTTTAATACCAGTATTGCGATCACTAACTACAGGAGATCTCCTGGTTTTGCTGGAATGGGTCCCATACTGTCGTGGCGTATTCCATTTGCGGTCTTACTTATATTTTATAGGCATGCTCTTTGATGGATTTGAGCTAATGTGGAGGTTTCGATGTAAGAAACCAACATGACCAAGGCTTCAGATGTTGTTTATATGTTCTCCCCAATCTAGATCATTTGCAATGCCATTATGGTGCAGCCTAGGTATTTAGTCGATGTTTCATGCACCAGAGTATGGCCGTGGAGTTTGTAGTCCAACTTGATTGGCTTTTTCTTTTTCGTTACTGTGAGGACGCTGCATTTTCCAGAAGTTTTCCCATTTTGCCAGTTTGTCCAAGTCTCATCTTGGAGTTTATGGCAGTCTCTGTCTGAGGAAATGGTCAAACAGACCACAGTGTCGTTATATATTTATAATCATTGATAATACAATTTATAATAACAATATCATTTATAATATGACCCTGGTGAATTATTCTACAACATACCCATACAGATAACCAGAGGTTTGAATTTAATTTTTACTTGGATTTGCTAGCTATTTAAAAAAAAATGGAGGGGGGATAAAGTCTTCATTGACATTGAAAAAATTAATTCAGAAAACATTAATATTGAAGCAGTTTTTTTTCCTTTGACTTTATGGCAAAAGTTTAGCACGACTTATAATACGACCCTGTTGAATTATTTGAAACTTTAAAAAGATTTTAAAAATAGGCAAATAGCAAAATTATCTTACCAAAGCATAAAACTATACAGACTGCAAACTGTACTTCTTTCAGCATTTCTACCATTTTGAAGTGTGACAAAAGCTTGTCACATGCTAGATCACATGATCGAAAAGTGTTCACGTGAATAAGAATCAAGCGGATACAGGTCTATACAGAAAGCTCCATACATGAATCCTTTAACATATAGCTAATTCTTTTTTAAAGTAATTAGAAACAACGCACCAGAACTTCCAACTCTGACCCCATCAAACGTTCCTGGGTTTGAAAATACACATCAAAATTGTGTAATGAATCTAAATCGTAAACATAACTAAATTATTTTAAAAGTTATTAGAAACAAACTAACTAACTAACTAACTAATTTTATTCAGTACAAAAGGATCATCGCTGATGATACATGAAAACATAGAAAAACAAAACAAAAATAAAACATAAAGAGACAACAATTGTGACACTTATAACAAACAATAGACAAAACAACCACTTCAATATTATGCAATTATTCCCACTGATGAATTTCTAATCAAAATACATTTGTCTATATATAAAAGAAATCTGTTGAGAACATCAGTCTCCGAACAGTTCATTAAATATCTAAAGGAGTAGGCCCAGTAAGACCCCTTTTTGGCCCCAAAATATAGCAGTTTTACAAAATTGTTAAAATGTAAATTTTAAGCTATTTATTGGAAAGAAGAATACTTCTGTTACATAAATATGTGCTGTTTTTGACAATACAATGCACATGTATCGGGTACTAGCATCATTAAGTCATGCTAAATTACTGAAATCTTCGAAATTTTCGCATTTTGGTTATTTTTTAGACGGTTTCCGTCTGAAATGGAAGTGGCCGCATTTGTGTTCATTCTTAATATTTAAATGTAAGTTGTATTTGATGATTATACATAACATATATAAAGTTTGAGAATGAACACGGATGCGGCCACTTTCATTTTTGACAAAAAACATTTGAAAAGTGACATATTATGGCATATTTGAAAGATTTTTCATATTTAAGCTTGAATTTGAGCGTCTTTAATGACTAAATCAGTTCAAATCTTTCACATAAACTAATTGAATCGACTGAAGTAGACACTTAAGTGTTTAAAAAGTGTCCAAAATCTTTCATCAGATGAACCTGAATTTTTAGGCCAAAATCGGCCCTTGCCGGACCTACTCCTTTATCAAAATTATTTAAATTACAAAAACACGGTATAATATTAACAATGTCATCATTAAACTTTTTCCTTTCGTCTTGATAGAGGTTACATTTACATATAAAATTAAACTCATCTTCAATTTTGTTATCAATACAATGTTAACATATTCTTTGATCCAAAGGCGTATTATTATATCTGCCTTTTTCAATGTGTAAATTGTGGTTAGAAATTCTTAATTTACATAACTGTCTAATATATTGTTTTGAGATATTCATCTTTGTATAAGTCTCAGGTTTATATTCCTTTTTAACTTGTATTATGTGCGTAATTTGTTTTGGTTTTCGCCTGACAAACATGAGAAAAAATATTTCGATATCTTTCTTGTAATTTCTTTTTCACTGCAGATATGAGTTTTCCTTCTGACAGAGTTCCTTTATTGTTCCAGACATGGTCAAAACCAATGAATTTTAGAATTGAAAAATGTGTTTATTGAAGGTACATGGAAAGGTACAATCAACATCTTCGATTGACTTATATGCTAATTTTGAAAAATTTAAAAGAGGGTCTTTATACAAATATATCCAGTATTTAAGAAACAACGCACCAGAACTTCCATTTTAAACCGTTTAAACAAATGTAACGGGTAATAAAACCGGGGAAGCACAATATATGTAGCTCTTGAAAATCGGAGTATTCCTGACTACTCATCATTTATGATCCCTTTTTTGGGATACGGAAGCCACGTCTGTCACTTTCCTGATTCGGCTACTCATCGGCAATAAGGATTCAATGGCATAAGTGCAGACAGACACGATCTTGAGTATTGTGTGCAACTTTAAACATGAAAAAGTGATATAAAAGAAAGCTTGAATTTAATTGAATAGATACTGGTAAAAAAAATCACGACACAACGATATGAAAAAGTATAAATATTTTTTTTTAATAATTTTATCAAGCTATACTTATTCTTGACTTTAAAACACATTTCAACAATACTATAGACCAATATAAGCAATACGAATAGTAACTGCAAAATAATACGATCACTGGCATTTTGCAATTTAGACTGGCTTTTTTAATTTGATTTTAATTTTTTTCCCATTAAGGTTTCTTGCAATGAATTCCATAAAATATCAGATATAGGACAGCAATTGATAGTCTAAAAATTAACCAAAAGACTGCGCATGACGGATTAATTTATTGTTTAGGATTTTCAGATGATGTTCAGACCAAAATGACCGTTTAAAGGGGCATTAACTGTCAAATTCATGTTCACAATCGAGCGCACCTAAGCATGTAAACAGCGGAGGTTAGTACAGTTCAGAGAAATGTCGTTTAATTAGCTTTCTAAATACGTCTTGTGATCAAAAAGAGAAAATTTATGACCATATTATAACCAATGCCACCCAGACGTAAGAAACGAAACGTAAAAGCAGTGCGTACACCAAAGAAACTAGAACATACAAGTTTTAATTTGTGCGAAAGCCTATTTTTTGACCCGGAGAATATGGCAGACAGTAATAACATAAATAACAGTGAAAACAGTGAACAAAATGAACAAAATGATTCTGTAGATAAACATTGTGATCCCTTAGATCTAACTAGTAGTTCACAGATAACGCAAAATAATACAGGAAATCAGAATCAACCGACAGCAATGCAAAAAGATGCATCACCTCCACCGATGCCGCCGCCCCCTTTTTCTTAAACCAATCAATGACGTCGCCTCCACCAAATCAACAAATGCTCGGTTTTCCAAAAGCTGCACCAGCCCCACCTTGGGTATGATGTTAAACAATATCTCAAATTCCTTAAGTGGTATGTCAACCGTGGTGAAAAGCTTATCTGTGCGTGTAGCTAAGCTCGAAAACTCTAAGGATAATGTCTCCAAAGGTACGGTAGAAAATGTTAAGACGGTAAATTCAAAAATTGAAGATTTGAAACGTGTAAACGATGCAATAAAGATAGAAAATAAAAAAAGCTTTTTGACACAATCACAGACCTTCGTTGTCGCGGATATATTGACAATTTATTGTTTCACGGAATTCCAGAGACCGAGGATGATACGTCCGACAATTGTATTGATACTGTAGCGAGTATTTGTGAAGACAAACTAGAACTAAATGATGTTAAACATACAATTACAAAAACACACCGTCTTGGGCAGAAGAAAGCGGAACAAACGAGACCTATCATTGTCCGATTTAACGACTCAAATTCACGAAGTAAAGTTCGGTCGAACAGTTACAAGTTGAGAAATACTTGAAGAAACCGTGAATGACAACGGGGGCAACACTGAAGTCAAAGGCGCGTGGAACTAGGAACGACTAGAGAATGGCAAAACTGTTTCTTCCACCAAAATCTTATCGTGAAACATAAACGATGGCCTAAAAGAAAAACTTGAAAACGAACAATTTGTTAGTTTTCTGAATACATATGATATAGTGTTTTTAAGTGAATGTTGGGTGAAGAAACAATTCAATTTTAGTATGGACCACTTCTGTTGTCCAGTCATTGTACCACGTATGCGTTCAAAAAGTACTCAAGGTGGGGGAATGGTTTTCCTGTATAAGAAACACTTAGAACTGAAAATCTCTGTATGTGAATTTATAAAGGACTCTATAATAGTGATAAAAATCGACAAATCATATTTTTGGGAAAATGATGAAGATAGATACTTAGTTTTTGTATATATTCCGCCGTACAAATCGGTTTTCTACAAACAATATATGATGAAAATGATTTGTTTGAAGATCTTGAACCCGTCTTAGAAAATTACTCAACAAAAGGAATAAGTTTTATTTGTGGGGACACTAATAGTCGGACAAGCACCCATGACGATTACATAAAAGAAGACAATTTGCCGGATATTCTTGCTGACCTTACTTCGTATTCTGCGGATTCACAACTTTCTCTTAGAGTAAACCCGGACTTGAAAATTAACACATGGGGTTTAAAGTTACTTTCCTTGTGCAAATCATCCGGATTTCGAATTGTTAATGGACGCCATAGCTAAGGCTACTCAAACATTTATACATACTGTGGTGCGAACGGAACTAGTGTCAATCAATGACTATCTTATTACACAGGAACACAATTTTGAATTGATTCGAAAGTTTATTGTATGTAGTTTAACATGTTTAACGACATTTTCGGACCATGCTCCATTACACTTCGACTTTGACTCAGTACAAGAAAAACTGTAAATAACCATTCTAATAATATACCAGAAAATTACCTTTTAACAGTGTTTAAGTGGAAAGACGAATTGTAAAACCGAGATGAGTGATGCTTTCCGAGTGAATCATGGTCGACTTAACTCGTGCTTTGAAAATCGAGACTTATCATCAGATGCCGATATAGACAATTGTGTAGAACGTTTTTCGGAAGCAGTAGTGGCTATTGCTGAACCTTTTTGTAAAGTTACTACAAGACATAAATCTGAACACAGAAACGCAAAGCTGAATTTTGATAAACCGTGGTTTTCAGATGAGTTGAAAACTTTACGTCGCAATTACATCAGGGCATTGAATGCGTTTAACAGCAACAGTTCTACAAATAATCATAAAACACTAAATGAGTGCAAGAACATACAAATTAAAGGAACGTTATCTGAAACGTCAATACATGAAACAAGAAGGTGACATGCTTAGCGTAATCCGCAAAACAAACCCAAAATTAAGTTTAATCCAAAAAAGCAAACGTTTAAAAGTAATTTGAAATTAGACGATTTTTATGAGCACTTGAAAAGATCTTGGACTGGAAATGAATTTGGATTCGGACAATGAATCAACTGAAGAAAGTAATTGTTGTGTTTTCGATGAAATTGATGCTGAAATAACAAATAATGAAGTTGAAAAGGTTATTAAACTATTGAAGCGTAGTAAAAGTCACGGACTCGACCTTTTGCTTAACGAATATTTCATTGAACTTTGCGAC